GGTAATAACAAATAAGACATAATGCCAAAAGTTTTCATGAAGATGTATAATAGTTTCAATAACAATGCTTATTTCATGACAGTATGATGAAATAGGAGTGGACGACGCCGACACGAGGCTCGTTCATGATTCTTTTATGAGCGCATTACAGAGTGATTGAACTTTAAACTGCTGTGGAAGTTCCATACCCCTGGGCAGAATTGAAAAATGATTACACTTTGTAGTTGCTGTAACACACTTTTAATATTTTAACTTATACATGTACTCTACGAAGTTTTAGATTTAAAACTGTCACAAGGAAATTGGTTGGTGGTACTTTATTCATAACTTGTATTACATACTTGGAGTGTTTATCATTATTGGTGTTATATATTTTAGCAAAAAAACTTAAAATGAAATATGGTTTGTTGTTTTAATTTTTTATTCACGAATTATGTAATATAAAACCAAACGATGCATACACAGCGTTCAACGGAGACCAGACTTGAAGGCAATTGAAGGCTTAGAATCGAAAATGCTCGCTTCATTCGTTAAGATTTTCAACCTCCTTCTTATTTATTGTTTTCAATCTTTCCGGTGGTATTCAAAATTCTTGCATTTGATTTGATACAATGGTGTATCGCAGGTAAAAAATACTTTTAAAGAAAAAAAACCACAAAGCTTTTTGTGAAGAGGAAGAATTTTACTTAAGATATATAATTTAGATAGGTATATTATAAAACGCCATTACAAAAATAACCACAAAGAGTCCTTGGAAACTTTACGTAACTTTTTACTATTTTGAGAAAATGAGCTAAGTTATGATCAATGATTATTTTTCTTAGTATGAATATACCATTTGTCAAATCTGTAAAAAAATTTCAAGTCAGCCGATGAGTTTTTACATAGATATCTGAATAATTTGTTTTTTATGGTCCCTAAACAGCAAAAGAGCTGACGGTCCACCTAATGCTGAGTGGTTGCATGGATATTTTCGACACAAGGGTTACGAATATATCGCCAGCTTTCAGGGTTGCGATTATGCTTTTGATCATGACTTTAAAACTCATTATTTTATTTTAGAAAGAAGAATTTGTCCGTTATTTTATTTCTGGTTACATATTAATCATATGGAATCAGAGAAATGATTGCTTTTTTTTTGTATATGGTAACTCCAAAAATATGTTTTATCAAGCTATTTGAGACTTTCCACAACAGGTGCATCGGTCATAAAATTTCGGATGCTTATTTTAAATATATGAATGAAAATTGTCATAAAGTAATAGGAGTAATAGTGATATAAAGTTTTTAATTTCAATTGTTTCGACACAATTACCTATTATTTAAGGCTCATTTACTAATATATTTTTGTTTTGATCATAACAAAACATAACTAACATTTGATAATTATGATGGTATTTGAATGCCTAAATACAATTACTTGTCTTACTTATTACTGATATTACTATTATATTTGAAAGTCTGTCCTAATTCCTGATACTTTATAAGTAGTGCTAATATTTAAAATGGAAAATATATATTTAGTCACGTTCCGAGTCTTAAATAATCTGTTTAACTTACATTAAATTGAAAAATGTACTGATGAATTCTTAAAAAGTATAAAAGAGAAAAATATGATACTAAAAAGGATTGTAAAGTGATTTTGGATAGTATATATTACAAGTAGATTATTACCCCATAAATTAAATTCTGTAATGTATCTTCTAATACGAAAGAGTTATATAAATCTGCTCATTAAAGATTAATTAATAATTCACATTATATATGCATCAAAATTTATTAGTACCTAGTTAAAAATATAAGCAGGAAAGTACAGGTGATTGTATATAGTTGAAATGGATATTCAATTCATTAAATCCAAACAAAGTGTTTCGATTACTGTGAGATAAATTGATTCAATGAATACTTCTGTTTTACTTCACAAAGTGAGACGGATTTCGTTTATTTTGTCGAACAATTTACTTTTTTTATAGAACAGTAGATACGGTATCGTTCAGTTATAATAATGTAAATAATCTAGATTTATTTTAAATGTAAGGGGAAATTTTGTGTTACTTATTTTATATAAAACTTTAAGTGTACTTTAATCAAAGTATAATGTATAAATTGAAAGAAGATATATTTTATATGACTATAGCTTTTTTCCAAACTATTCAACTGGATGTGTACCTACACAAATATATTTATTCTAATTTATTACTATATATTTAGAATGAAGTAAAGATTTACTTTTACTTTGTTCTATTTTACAAAAATTTAATCAAACATTTAAATTAAGCGAACAACCTTTTTAGTCAATTGATTGCTTAAGATGGATTTTTTTTTTAAAATAAGATACTATTCTTTATTGATATTCATAGACAACGTAGATTTCTTGCACAGGATCCGAAAATTGGTATCTTCAAGCTTCCATTTTCTTTTTATTTTGTTCCGATATCACATTTTTATGAAAAATCGTTTATATTTTAGATTTATTTTGTCATTCATTTTTGCCATTAGAGTACTATAGTGAAATTGTAGTTAATGTTATAGAGAGACGCCATATACAGATCGAGATTTCAAGACACTTGTTTAAATCAAATATATGTTTAAAAGTTTATTTTCTTAAAATTATACCAAAGGATTTTAAAAGAAATTTATTTTTAGTTAAACATTCATATGCAATCCGTACAACTGTAGCTACATTATATGTACCTCGTTAAGTTTTATAAGGTAGTTAGTAAACTCAACAAAATAATGTGTTTGTGTATTGAAATGTTTAACTGAGAAACTTTCATAGAATTCTTCTTAAAGTTAAACAGGTATATCATTAAACTTCTTTATAAAATTTAAATCTCAAAACTCTTTAAAAGAGTTAAAGTTTTGATGCTTTAAAAAATTATAACTTTCTTAAGTGGAACTGCTGTGACTGTTTAGAAATGAGCTCGGCTGTGTAGCGTGATGTCCGGGCACTTGTTGCTCTTCAACACTATACAATTTGAAATTTAAATAAATTTCAATATTATCACTAAAGTAATTCATTGCCCAAACATTTTACAGCCCAACAATAGAAGCTTAGGATAAAAGAAAGCCAATCGCTTCGTCCGAGGACTAAGGAACTAATAAATGGAACACATTTTGTATCACACAACAGACACCCAATTTCCGCATATAACGGATGCAATGTTTCTTATCGTTGATGACAGTCACGGTATACATATGTCTTCAAAGCATTTTCGCAATGAAACAATTCTTCTTCCTTCGAAAACAAGTCCATATTTTGTAGACACAGATCATGGTCGTTTTTTATGACAAAATTAAATATTTACACTCAAGAGCACCGTTAAAAGGCTTGTTATTAAGGGAATGGAGAATAAATGATACATAGGTAAAGTCTTTATTCAGAAAACACTTAAATACATTGTTTAATTGATACATTTCAAGATAACATCAATATTATTTTTAATTCCAATACATTTAACCAAACATTTGGTTGCACATTTTTGGTCAAACATATATTGTCCTGGGCCAATACTTCCCGCGTACATCTAATTTTATAAGTATTAATATTGTTTATAATATTTATGTATGTATGGGATAATAATTATATTATTATTTTTAATAAATGTACTGTTATGACGTAGAACTATTAAAGTAAACTTTGGTATGGTTGTTGTTCACTGATTAACTCTATAAATTAACAATTTACAAAGCAAAAGACTAGCTGAACTGATGCAATACTATTATACTGTTATATAATATATTGTTAGAAAATTTAATTTTATACCTCAAATAAATTATTATCTTAGTCTGCTTTCGAATACTTTCGAGTGAAATCTGCCTAACAATAAAAGTAAATGATTTTATAAAATCAGTCATTACATTATGACAGTTTGGTATAAAATTGTTTAAAAAAAATTTCTTTACAGTTTATAAAACAACAGCATTTTTTTATTTCAACGGTAATTTGTTTCGATATGAATTTCAGTCGCGTCCGTCATATTAAAAACATTTTATTAATAACTTATAAATACTTAGAAATAAATATTTACATTCACTAATAATAATAATTGCTATCGATTCAACACTGATGCTAGATCTCTGTTATTTTTCAAAGTTTTTGAATAAGAATCATAACTTCATTTGGACGATAAACTCCAAGATCTGAACCATTCAGTGTTGAACCGAAATACGATAGTCGCAAAATGCACCATTATAATAAGCACTCTCATCTTTATATACAAATAAAAATTACTTCTTCATTCAATTAATACTTTTATTGTAAATATAAGCTACTTAAAATTCCCCTAATTCAAATAGAATATTAATCAATAAAAACTTCATTAAAATTTAGAAAACTTGGAGATGCAACGTATATAGCTTTAATTAATTTTTTAAGTGGAATGTTGATTTTTTCACCAAAGAAGGCACTACAAAGGTACAGAGAGACAGAAAAAACAATAATCGGAATTTCATTTAAAATCTTAATTCTATTTAGATTATTATATGTATGTATGTAATACAAATAGTAAGAGAACAATACATATATTTCAAATGCGGTTTCTAAAAACATTTATACTATTACTGAATAAAATACACAGTCCCTTTACAGGTAACTAAGATGAATAACTAACATAGTTTTTAAGTAATCGTGTTATATCGTGAATGCTATTAAACATTTTTTAATCTTAAACTTCTTAAGAAAAATGTTTTCTTACGTCTTACTACATGTTGAAATAAATTAACTATTTTATTTTGTTTCATATATTTTTATTTCCTCGTGGCAGTGTCGAAATGTAATAATTTCATAAAAAAAGGATTTCTGATTTCTTAGCAGCAAAATCCCTAGATAAGCAAAGGTCATTACAATTCCTTATCTAAATTGGTAACTATCTAACTTCAACACATCAGCAACGGGTACATCACTACTGTTAAGTTTAATGGACTTTAATGGTATTGTATGGAATAAATTCGATTAAAACCGGTTTATGTAGAAACATGGAATCCAGGTTAACACTGATTTAGTTGTTCAAAATAATAGCGATTATAAATGGTATAATGAGAGAGAAGGTGTAAGCCGAACGAGTGACGCCACCAGTTACGTGAATGTCACTCTCCAGGACAAACGGTTCGTCTATCACGTGAATAATTCCATTAGTGCATTCAACATCGGGTCGGAAAACGTGGATCCAATGGCCGTTCCATTCAACGTAGTAATCTGTTAGGAAACAATAGTTTTATTGTACCAAATTAGCTGCTCGTAACCATTCTCTACTCTATTATTTGTACGTTCTGTTACCAAAGAACAGTAACCCTCTGAAGGAAGGATTATTCATATGAGATAAAAACAAGTGAAAATTAAAAAATAACAACGGAACAAAAACATCTGTCTATGGAAAGTTAACGAAGGTGAAAGCATGAATAATATAGTCATGCAGCGAACCCTTCACAACTTAATTTTATCAGACAAAGCCGACAAAAACCAATAAATCTTTCATAACTTAAACCTCGTTTAACAATTTTACTTAGAAACACGACATGTGTCTCATTTTATATTCAAAATTGTTAAAATTGGAAACTTAACTTTGGTTCTTTTATAAAAAATTATAAATGCTAAATCATGTTTAAAATATTTTCGTTCAACACAAAAATGGACCTGCTTAAATTAATAATAATCAACCATATTCATGATGAAAGTCACAATTGCTTTAAGTTTTGTGGATTTTTATCTGAATTTCATACCGAACTTGTATTAATAGCTAATATGTTTTATATTTAGCACATAGTGTTCATTCGTAAAAGTATATAAAGTATCTTACATATAAAATAATATTCAATCTTACTTTTATCGGATTCCTTGACTCGTAAGCGTAGCGGGTCGCGAGTTGTCGGTAGAACGAAAGGATGAGTCTCGTTTGCGAGCAGCTTTAGATCTGAGACGGTGTAGGAGCGTTCCGAACGAATAACGTGACGCTCCAGAATCTGCTTAGTCTAAAATAAGTGCTAACTTATATAAAAGATCATTTAAAATGCTATTAAATTCTTCATTGAAATAAGCATGTTTGCATTTAAAAGGAATAGTTTTGAGTATATGCTATATTTTTTATTGGTTATATTGATATTGAAAGCTGAAAAGCTGATTACAAGATCTAGTTTTTTCGCCATTCCGTTTTGAGAAATGCTTTCATGGTTTTTGTATATTCCTGAATTGACTTGTACACTTGAATAGGACATGACTAATGCTACTGGGATTCAAAGTCCCATTTGAGGAGTATTTTAAAATGTACTTACGTAATATCCGAAATCCTCTCTGAACAGTGCTTTATATGCAGTGGGATGCCTTATTTGGAATTTGAGCCAGGCGTGGTCTCGAGGCACGAAGTATGTGAACCGATGCTCCATTTCTTTCAGCTGCTGATTAAACATCTGTCGCTTGCCCATGTTGTAAGTAATGCTTGAATTCAAATTAACAATCAGTTCTTGTAAATTTCATTAAAAAAATGCAAGCAGTCTTGTAATTTTTATTAACGTATTACTCAGTAACAGTGTGGAGTAATGATTTAAGCTTGATCTCATAATATTTTTCACATAAATTATAATTCAAAGTATTAATACAATTTTCTTACTTCAGCATAGGATCCGTCTTCATTTTCTCGAATACAGTAGTGTAAGGAATACCAAGAACTCTGTCGATAATATGAACAAAGCCGTTGGTTGCGGCTATATTTGTCTGTGTCACGGTCGCGTTAACACCACCGCCTTCGACAGTTAGAGTCAGATTGTTTTGATGATTGATAACATTGAAGTACAGATACTTCCTTGGCAGTGCAGTTGGTGCTTGATATATCTAGAATTGAATATCTGTTAGTTTACGCCCTTAAAAACTGATAGAAATCAGGGAAACAACCATTTAAACTTGGCCTGCAGTGATTATACATAGCCTACAGGAAATGTCATTAATAAAAAGTCATGCACAACTGGAGTGAAATGGCATGCGATTTAAATGAACATAAAGGATGTTGATTATGGTTCTGATGATGCAATAAACAAAATGGATTGATTAAATATGAAAATTGTAATTTCGTTTTAAATGTATTTCGGTTTTAAATCAACATACTGCGCCAGGAAGCTGTTCCGTGAGGCAGCAAAAGAGCAAATAATTAATTCAGCGATCATTTATTAAATGAATCTTCTCTCACTTAACTGAAATTTATTACTTATAATATATTACATAAAATTATATTTATAATTAAAATTACAAGCAAAATCTTAGTGCGATTAAAATAACATTTTATTAGTAAATTGTGAAAGCCATTAATATAAGTGCTATTGTAAATACAAATAAAGATGACATATTTACAATGTAAAAAAAAATACTAAAGAGTTTCCTGACCTGGTTCATATTATTATGAATGATTGCGTCCAACGGTAGTCGTTCCCGCACCAAATGGAGATTCAGGATATCCTTAAGCTTTTGGTGATTTCTATAACAATAAAGTAATATAAAAATGAAATAAGTTAAAATGAAATGTTTAAATACATTGTCTGAGAGAAAAAAAAATCTCACAAAAAAAAAATTAACTATACGGGACATGGCTTTAGCTCGTGATTATCTTCCCATTCGTTCCTATTTCAATTAATTATAAAATTATATTTTCATTCCAAAATTAATTTATGTTTAATCAATACAACATAAGTACATCCGTGAAATACTATGGACATATTGTATAATATATGTAGTTTAATATTGATTGCTTTCATAAACTTTTGAATAGTTTTCTAACAATTTTTCTCCATTGTTATTCCCCACCAGCATAAAGTATTATTTATATTCAAAATCATAACAGTAACTAGTGCAGGTGATTGAATGAACTTGGTGTGACTGAGTAAAACTTAAAGTAATAAGTAGCTTTAAAAATAATAAGTAAATATTGTTTGTAAAAATTTTTATCATCAATTTATTCATACACTTCAACCGCGACTATACAGTCATCAATAAAAATATTATATGTACCTTATAATATTTTGCACATTCGGTTCGTTCCAAGCTTCGTTTGAAGGCGCAAACAGCGTGATGTCTTTGGCTAGAGTAAGCTCGTTAAGAAACTGATTGTGCTCGCCTAAGTCCATGATCACTTCGTAGAATTTACACAAAGGTCCGTCTTCTTTTTCCTAATGAGAATAATTGATAAATAACGAGAGCAATTTAACGATACAAAACCATTATTGAAGAGCATTGCGATATTTTTAATCGATAGCTGTTATTTAAAATGCATTCAATGTACTATTTATGTTTTAATATTTATCAAACTCCGGTAGTAAGTATATATAAATTTATACTGATAATAATAAATCCTTATCCATCCCATTTATGTGAAGCTCGAAAACAATCAGTTGGTACCGCCTTAAATCCATCATAGCTTAGCACATGTTCTAATGCACTTTACATAGCACTATAGCACCCATTTCGTATTATTCGCATTTAACTAAACAATCTACTATTCAGATTTACTAAAAGCGTAGTTTTCGTAAAATAAAATACTTGGAACATATATTTTAAACTTATTATTCAGGAACAAGTTAAGAAAATAAAACCTTACAGTGCATTTATGTGCTTTGCAGTTATTGTACTGTGAAAACAAAATCTTACCTTGGATTATTACTATTAAAGAATTTTTCTACATTAATAAAGCTACATCCAATCTATTTAGATATAACCAAATAAGTACGTACGTAACATTTGCATGCAAAGAAAATACTTACGATTCCCTAAAGTTGTGAATTGCGGAATACAGCATGCAGGTTCCATGGAAAGGACGCGTAAACATACATAAATAGATAAAATATAAAAGTCGTATAGGTTTTTAATTATATTTACTAAAAATATATAAATAAAATTTTGCTATATTTGAAAATGAAAGGTTAGTGAAAATAACTGAAGTGATAATATAATTTGTCACAGAGTTAGAAGGCACCACACGGGTACAAAATAACGTCACAGTGGTGATAGAAAAAATATTGTATAGTGAAATTGAATCAAAACGGTTTAACGTTAAAACCAATATTTTTCAGTTATGAATTTTATATTTTATAGTCTAGATAACATTTATATTTAGGACTTAAAAATCAAGTTTCTTTTCTATATAATCACAAAAAAAAAAATTGTATTAATGCTGTTTAAATTACAAAAAAAAACTAATTATTTTTCGTTAATAAAGTATAAATATAAAATAATCTAAGAAGCAGAATATGAGGTTAACAATAACATCTCGTTTCCCAATATTATGCTACTTTCAATCAATCATTCAATCTAATGTCGTCTCCAAAATGCTTTTTACGTAAATAAAATGGAATGGAGTCTCGGTAAAATGATTAATGGATAGATAATAAGAAAAATATAAAGGTTTATAAATATTAAATGTAACGAATTTATATATTTACATATATGTATGACTTGACTATGATTTGAAAATTTACTTGCCTTACCTGTTAATTAAAGCGGGGTAACAAATTGATTATTCTAATAAAGTTAGTAAGATACGTACAGAAAAATTAATTTCAATTGTATTCACACAGAACGTGCTATCATTGGTAAAATTTTATTATACTTAGTTATAGCAAAAATGTAAAAGACTCTCACAATCAATGAAATAATAATATTACGACATTTTTACCTTCCTCGCCTGGTTCCGGATTAAATGGAGCAAAAAGTTAATATACGATACAATTTATGTTAATCATTATAATAACAAGTACATAAGTATTTATTATATTAGTTTAATTAATTAAAAAAATATAATCATTTTCATTAAGACACTTTTAAAACTTACCGTTTCCAATGGAAGGCTAGTAGATGTGAATATTGTTTAAAAAAATAATCTCACCTTCAAGAAATCTACGACGGTAGTATCAACCACCATTAGTGGTCGTTGTATGAGATGAACCACTCCATTTTTAACCGGAATGTTAGCTCTCACAATATCAGCCAGTACAACGCCACGACTGTGTTTTGCGTCGCCGGCGACTGTATTGGATTTCACGTACGCTGTTGAAATGAAAAAAAATTATGTCATAAATGACAATGACATTTAAAAATGAAACTAATATTTTTCCCGACGTTTCCGCTACTTTTCAGCAACCGTGATAACGGGCAGACGAGATGTGAATGACTAATATTATATCATTCTAATGATCTTGCGTAGATTTATATTATATATTGATTATAATATAAAAATATATAAAATCTTGTTCAGTAATTTATTGAAACCGTTTTTACTTAATTCTTGACAATAAACTGAAATGCAAATTACAATATTATATTTTAGCCTCGCCATTTTGTTCTATAACATATTTACACATGTTTGTAATAAGAAAACAAACATGTACATATATTTAAATAATTTTATTGTATCATTTTCTATATATTTATTGCATCAGTTTTAATATTAGCAAAAAAGACACTTCAAAAAACTGTCTATACATAAAACTTTAATATGTACTTGTATAAAAATACTATTACATAATCGTTTTCAAAGCTCTAAATCGAACATACTTTATATTAAATCAGCCAAAAATTTTGTGCGCTATTTTCATAAATAAATTACATAGAAGGATATTAAGAAGGATGTCAATACATTTTGATAAAGTTGCCTGCTTGTCGACTCGGTTGACAATTTCTATATGATACATATATTTAATATATGTATGTTATCAAGTATGAAAATATACATATGGTTTTATACTTTAAGTACATACGACGCAATGTTTACAATAATATAATTATAATATAAGAAAGCGTATTTTGAATGAATCTTAAATAAAATAAAAAGTGTTTCACGTAACCATTTCCAGTTAAAATCAGATCTTTGTTATTTTTTTTCGTTTGAGTTTTTTGTAATAAAGTATTAACTAGGTGTTAACATGAACACCTCATATATTTTGAAATATGACACGATTATTTGAAATTGTATATGTTATACAAAAAATATTTTGTATATTTTGGACTAAATTAAATTTTGTTACTTGTGAAAATTGATTGCAGTAATCTTTTTGGTGTATTCGGTAATAAACATTAATCTATTGATTTATTTGGGTCAAAGTTACATTTCTTATCCACTAAATAATATTATTACGAGAAAAAGACTAACTTGCAATGATAGAAAGTAGGATATAGTAAATAAAACATTGCAAATAGAAATTCCATTTAAATATACATTGGATATATTTTTCAAGTAACATAGTATCGTTTACAGTTTTCGAAAATTATACGATTCTATTTTAGAGCTCGTATTTTCGAACAAACATTTGATGTTTTAAAAAGAATGGAAATCCTTTTAAATTTATATTGGCTATTTTATTTTGTTTCTGGTTTCAGTTTATACGTTTCAGCGAAGTCTATTTCAAGCCTGTTCATGTTTCAGTATTGTTAGAAAAATATTGTCCATTTCACCTATAAGTGGTGTGCTACTATGAATTGTGAATGTTAAATTTTCTGATATAATTTACATGATATGAGTACTCACTGATGTCGGTTTTGCCGTTAGGGGTGGAAGTGAAGGAAATGATGACCTTGACGTTATCACTGAAGGCCATGCTTTTAAACTCTTCACCGTCTGGAGTTGCTTGCGTAAAGAGGACATGGTGTGGAATAACGTGGCCATCTACCACCTTTCCATCTATCAGATCGGATCGCGTTGTGGGCTACAAAGATTTAAAATTAAACCATAGATCTCAAAAATGCAATACAAAGTCAAAAAGTAATATATGATTTTTCGTGATTAATTTCAAATAACTGAAATTGCTTATTTTTATTTCCAAAAATACTCTTAAAATAAATTTCTTTTTGTTTTGCTAAATTGCGAGTGCATCATAAAAAAATCATTGAAACAATTGAAGATCATATAACATTAAATGAATACACATGAAAATAATAGCAACCATTTATGACATTGATACATTTATTTGTCAAATATTTATCATATCAAACATTTTATTATTACGTTCATAATATAACTAAATGATATGAATAATATCACCTGTAATTAATTACCTTAAAACCTTCGTCAACTGGAATGAAGAACGTGTGTCTGCCGTCGGCATCAAAAACGTCCTTCTTTGGGATTTGGTTTACTTTCTGACGGAACGACCTAAATATAATTCACATTAAATTAAAAATTGATATACTTAATATTATGTAAACAGCTAATGTATATGTGAAAATAGTTATTTTCATAAGCATTGTTACTCGGATATAAATTGTAGGTAGTTTCTATGAATAAAAACTTGTTCATATGAATGTTTTTAACATGTTTTATTAAGATTTATATTTATATGTATATACTTGACTTTATATATGCTCAACAAACAAACATAATATAATACCAAGTAAATTTAAGTTTTCCTTCGTAATGTAAATAGCAACACTACACCAAGTGGTTGAAATAAAACGAACTAAAGCCATTGTTGTAAGGTCAACAAAGCTAGAAGTTTCACAATGTCATGATTTTCTATTGTAATATAATTGTATTTTCAATTTGTACAGCAACTTTACACAATTTAATAACAGCTTCAGGAGTGCAAGGTTTCCGTTGAATTTGAATAGAGTTATTTTGGAATTGTCATATATATATACATATATATATATATATATATATATATATATATATATATATATATGCTAATTCCAAAATATTATATAGAAGATTTTATCGTATATTGAAATAAAATTATTGATTTGAGAATGCTAGTCATAATGAAAGTTTCTAATGAACATCAGATTTAAAAAAAATCCATATAAATATATATGAATGATCATATTTTAAATAATTTAAGAGGATATTTAGTATTCCGTTTCAATATTTAAGTCTCCTTTTAATAAAAAAAATCATGATCCATTTTATAAAAATAAAGTTATGAAAATGTACATGATTTTAAAAATATATAATATTAATATACGTAGTTTTTTAATTTTATTACTGTTAGTCCAAGCAGAAAATTAATGAAACGTGAATAATTCAAGAGAAACCGAGTTGCATTTCAAAATAATTCTGAATATTTTAATTCCTTACAATTTGAAAGTCGAAAATATTGTGAAAAATGAATTTTAATTTGATATTAAACTATGAAGAAGAAAGTTACGTAAAACAGATAACCGTTTAATAAAATATAAGGCTTAGTTTTGCATTACCTAAGGGAAATCATAAAACAAACTTAGGGGATAATACAGGATTATGGTATTACTTTGTTATGTATACGGCCTTAGATAATACGGACTATGTTCATAGAGAGAGCTCCGCACTTAAATAACGAAGCCTTAAAAGAAGTGATTATTATAACACAATTGTCTTCGTTATAAAACAGAACGTTGGACCTAGAAGTTGTCGGGTTTAATCCCCACTTGGGTTGTGAACGCTTTGTTCATCCCTGGTCCATGACAGATGCGACCGTAAAGAAAATTTACATATTTTGGCTACCCAGTACAATACATATATGTATTTTACAGATCATTCTGATTGAAATATTTTCATTTTATACGTTGATCGTTTTATATTTTGAATATTATTTGATGAAAAGCGAAGTAATTTTAAGTAATATCTCTCAATATTATAGGTAGTTTATATTATCGCAGCGTTAAGTTAAATGGGCCAAAACGAATATAAACGATGCCTCTGCTTAATCTCTTTTATCGAAAATTTACCAAACCCCCCAACGTAAATATAAAGTGTACCAGTCGTTATTGGAATCAAGCTTAAATATTGTTATTTATGAACATTTTGTAAATCGGAATTAATAATAACTAGAAAATCTACAATGAATTATATAATTTAACCAAAATACAGTTAGAACTTTTTTTTTTTTGGACGTACGTATATAATGGTGTTTTTTGATCATCAGAGCTCTTGACAATAACGGCATAATTTTCTAAATCTATTGCAATGGATTAAGAGAAACAGCCATTAACATAAATAACTTTGGTTTAATGTGTCGAGGTACTCTAAATATATCCCTCGATGATAATAAAAGTAATATATTCAACAATAGTTTTAGTCAAATTTTGATACAAACCACCATATTGAACACAAATAATTCACATACATTTAACATACAAATACATTTTCAGCAAATAGGAATTCTACTATCATAATTTCGAAGCGTTTTGCAATTGGAACACATGGTTGAATAGTAACACTGTCGTCATTTCGATGGTTCCACAAAAACGTTATAACGACATATCTCGTGGAAATCCATAAATGAGGTTGACAGCGTATCTGCAATTCTAACAAGCATCGCATTTGCAGATATCACTGCATTCGATGTATTTCACATTTGGAAGCTATAAGAATTTGGTAATTTAGTTTGACGCGATTTCGAACACATTTTTGGTATATTATTTTTGCCAAGTTTTTACGTGTGTTATATTTATTAAAGTGAATTGTATCAGCTACCAATTAACTAAAACATGTTATATATACATATGTATTTCATCAAATACGAGTATATAGGGACGCATAATTGAGTGGGGCAAAGACAAAACATGATAAATCCATTATTACCTGAGGCGATGTTGTCCAATATCGAACAAATCCGAATGTTCCAGAAACTGGTAGGCGTTAGGGTTATACACGGTTGTGCCGACGGAGCTTTGCCCTAAAGGCAACAAGGGTTGAAGTACTTGGTCTATTACGTGAAGCACCTATACAAATAATATGTGATAAAAGTTTTGAATAAGTTTATAAATTAAACATAAACAAACTGTAACAGAGAAACAATGATAATATCCAAAGTGACCACAAGATACATATATACATATATAGTACTTTGTTAACATAACAAATTAAATTTGAATAGCTTTGTCAACAAGATATAGGAATAAGAAAGTTGATTGCATATAGAGCCTTTGTTTTTAACACAAGTCTGCTCTTTCAACACTAAGTTATATATTTCCCATGAAACATTCCGTATTTGTCTAAAGTTGGTACACCATTATGCTTCGTATAATATGGTTGTTTAAAACAAGTCTTACACTCACGGGATGAATAATAAGTTCCAGATTAAATAAGCCTCAAAGCTAGAAGAAGGAAAACTATTTTAATTAGTTTTGTTTGTAATTAATACACTGTGGTACCTTATTTACATTAAACATAAGTAATAAATTAAGAAATATTAAAGGTGACTTCGTAAAAAAGTTCTAATTTTAAATAATGAAAAATATCTCATCATTTATTTATCAAGTATAAATGTATTTTCAGAATAAATGAGATATAATTATTTATCAACAGGAACTTAATATAAACGACACTCTAGCTTGTACGGCACTCTATTTGAGGAAATGAAAATATTGAATTATGTAAGTTTGATTTAATATTCACAAAAAGGAGGAAATGTAAATAATAATAATAGTGTTAATTATAACGATGAACTATAATGAACTGATCAATAGTTTTAATATTTGGCTATAACTACCTGTTGTTTGCCATTTCTGTTGGTGGCTTGATACGTCCTTGTGATGTCAACTTTGGCATTATTGACGTAAATGTCATCGTGCATAGAGTCCCGTCGTCTCGTTATCCACAGGGGAGGGTTCCCGTCTAGCTCTGACGATATTGAATAGTCCAAATTTGTGAGTGTCGTTGCCAAATTTGCTGTGAAAATTACAAATTGCTGAAGTTCACTTTAATTCATTTTGACTGTTCGTTAGATCTCTACTGTTAAAAAGCTATTTTATATACTTTTAGTTGAACTTTTTTAAGTTTTTTTTTTGAATCTGTAAAACCGTTTAAGATATTTGTTGCTTATTTTGAAGCTATACCGGAAGACTATATTTTTGTATCTATAGATAATAATGTATTGTGGTATATAGGATAGAGTTTAGTTTGAAGTTAAATATAATAGTCGGCTATCACAAAATGGCTCGAGCTAGTGTTTTGTTTAAAACAAAAGGCATTTAACAAAGTGAATACTTTGCGCTTAACAACGTGAAATAGTTATGAAAACCGCTCGCAAAGTTTTCTTCCCACAAAACTTTGGTCCTTTAACAAGAAGGCTTGTGGAACAACCACTTTATTGAAAATGCCATGAAATTGTCCAAAAACTGATGTTAAAGTCGTGAAATAATTGAGTAAAACGAGATCAAACGACAAAATTAATTATGCGCATAATATGATCCCGCTTCTTAAGCAATATTATTAAATAAGTTTTGAATAATACCAATTCTTCAATGTCTAACACCAATACTTGCTATTCCCTTATTTCCTTCATTCAAGTCAAAATAATTATTGACATTAATAAGAAAAGAAATATAGTTACGTAACTTTAACTCTGTTTAAAAAAGGAAATAAAGACCAATGAGAAACCTAGATAATCAAAAAATTGCTTTTGTGGAGCAAATTAAAAGATTAACATGTTAAAATAAACTAAAGAAAGAATTGAAAATATCCTGTTACTAGATATTTTCAGTTACCAACTTTAATAGAATGACATTGTTTGTTATTTCTAAAAGACTGTCAAATTTCATTTTTGTATCTGTCACATATTTTTTGTCACTTTACAATTTTCCAAATATCCGGGATATATTTTTTGGAAATTATTGTTGTTAAATTTGATAGTAATAAATAATATAGAAGTAACTTCATGTAGCAAAATGAGATAAACTCAGAAAATTCAGAGGCCATTTACTTACATATGTGAAAAAGAACAAGTGAATCGTCCATTTCTCCGGTGTATCTTTGGAAAGCTTGGTTGGTTGGAGCAAACAGTGTCATCTGGCGGTACTGCAGACTCATGTTGGCGACCACATTGCGCTCCAGCAACGCCAAGAACTGTTGATAATAAAAAAATACTAATTAAACAGAACCTTCTAAAATGTATCTAAGCCCATTTATGCAAATAGTCTTTACTCGATACCCTATCCGTCATTTCGTCAATTGGATTTGCATGCTTTAGCGTCCGGTCCATTCACTAAGTTCCATTAGAACCTTTATAGTGAATTCTAAGCTGTTTTACATTCACACTACCAATGCATTTGTACCAATCCTCTTAAGCATGAACTCAGCTCAAAATCTGATTTCACGTTTGAGCGCAAATTCTCTAAACCGCAATAGCCACCAATAAAGCCTGTTTTGACTTTACTTCTGAACAAAATATTGGAGTTTATATAAAAGATTTAATACTGGCTGATGACCCGTGAGAGCCGTTAGCAATATGGAGTGGTTCATTTCAAATGTATGAAAACGTTCGCTTATAAAATGAATTTTTACTACGCGACGAGATGACTATTTATCCTAACTATAATTCAACTGGCCAACTCCTCAAAATATCCTATAATTGTGCATTATATATTCGTTACAGTGAACTAAATCAAGGTTTTTCTATTGTCAAGTATGCAAACAAAGGACGAGTATGTCTTGACAATCTGTGCAGAAATCAAGTTCATTGTACTAACAAAGACAATTGAAGGCGATAAGCTCACACTAAGTGGTGTACCTTCTGACTGCTAATGTCACATGCGGCACCGATAATAGAGATAATGAAGTTAAAGTTCATTAAGAATGTATATATGTAGTTAAAAATTTTAAACGACGAAAGGTTGTCAATATGATTGAATATTTTGTATCCCTTATGAACCTTTGGATCATGCTTTTTTTAGTAAGGTGTTCCAAGGTTGGTGCTTTGATAAGTTAATCTTTCCTGAAGGTGGAATTTTAGAATAATTATTCTAATTAGGTCTAATTCGGAAGTCGTACCAAAGCTGCTTTACGCGATTTTAATCACTTCATGTCTCGTTTAATAGATTTCAAAATATCTTTTTAACAACGTTCATACACCTCGTAAAGAAGTGTTAGATATTTTTGGCAACTTTTTTTCCGTCTACAGCTTTCCGTCTCAAATAGACGTCCTCGTTTCATTCAGCTGTTATAACATTATTATAATCGTAAATTAATTATTTTTTAACGAAAAATAAACAAAGAGGAATCTAAAAAGTAAAAAAAAATATTTATTCACGTAAAAGAAATACGTTTTTTGTTTACTTTACAGAAAATAATTAGTTGAATAACTGCTTAACAATTTTTAAGTTGATATTAAGTAATTACTACATAGTTAAGTAATTCTTGATAAATTTCTATAGCCATAGAATAAAAATACAATTCACATAAAATGTTTCCACGTTTTTAACACGACTACATTTTCAGTAAATTAAATGCGTGATCTGTAAAGAGCTGGCCGTAGAATTTTAATATGCTTCCAAAATATTTATATCAGTAATTCAATTTTCTGCTCTTCAATTCTTTTTCATGCATTAAATTCACAAGGATGGCTTCAGCGTACATAAGCCGGAAAACATTATGTGATTTATATTTGAAGTCTGCTAATATTCTTTAAAAGGGTTGAATTTTTCATGATATAAATTATTCATAAGCTGTGTTTTGGCCAACTGACTAAACTGGTCGTATGATGAAACACTAAAGAGCTTAAGAAGTTTTGAAAAATGTAGCATATGACTAGGGGGCATATTTGATCGATACTTGAGTCCTTTGTTGATATATTTTGATGAGGGTTGCAAGTGTTCCTGCGGAAGCACTAACCCTTTGAAAGCTTTATACACGGACTATTTTTGTTGTCCCTTTTATTTTTTGATACACCCATATCACAATGCGAAGCTGATAATTGCCCCTTTGTTCTGGTGTCCAGAAAGCTCTGTAATATCAAGTTGGTGATTTCCCCAAAGGTTATTTCGTAATACTATTGCGAATAGATAAGAAGATATATTACGCTGTAATAAAGGTTTTTGTTTCAGGTATAAACATATTTGGTTCGGAATAAGTACATTTTAATTATAATACTTTTGATAAGGCAGATAAATAATTACGATGCTCTTTAAAATAATATGTACGTAGTTTTCTCAAGTATTATAACTAACATGCATTTTAATATTTTATAGTTTGGAATAATTTATAGGTGTAATTTTTTTAACACATACTATTTATATTTTTCTTGAGATACAACAATTGTAAAGCAAAAGTTAGGGAATTTAAATGTGAAGTAGAAACATAACACCATATATCTGCTTAAAATACACTGATTTAGGACATCTTACAGAAAAGGTTCTTTCTAACCCATATTTTTCATTAATGTTGCCGATCGTGAAAACTTCACTCATACACAATATTGCTAAACATCGAAATACTGTCACGAGCTTATCTTATGAAAATAATGTTATTCAGATCAAATTTAATAATAATAAAACTTCATATATGACATAGCACCGATCTTTAAATATGATAAATTTATATCAAAACTGACAAAATTTTTATAAAATATCAAATAATATTTGAAATGTAAGAAAAATAATACTTCTTCAAATTAAATTTACTTTTAATATTTTTTTCATAAATACTGGCGTGGTATCGTAAATCTCAAATTCTCATTTCGAAGGTCTCTCTTCTTGACCTTACATATAAGATCGTTGACAGTATACGCTTTTTCTAAAGAAAATTATTAATCATTGAGTAAAGAGGATTTGGTTGCCAATTGAATTTAGGTTATCAGAAAATACGGGTCTTAAGATGTCGTTAAAAAAAGGATTTGATATTTTTAAGGCCACTAGGTTTAAACAGATTTAAATTTACTAAAGCTACATTAAATTTCTTTATATATTATTTTACATTATTTGCTATATAAAACACTATACAGCAAATCTCACTTCATAACTAGGTCACATTGAGAATTGTTTTGAGATTGTGCTATTAATTGATAACATTTACAATGTACAATCTATAAAATGAACATTACATAACAACTGTGTATGTGATTTATTTAACTGACTTACGCAAATGTTTAACTTACTTTATGAACCAAAGTAAACATTTAGGTTACCCATTTAAATAAACCATTTCAACATAAAAATAATATTTTCTTTTGCACACCTGTTACGGTTTTCGTTGCGGTATGAAGTCATTTTCATATGCATTTTCATTTTATAACATATATGATGTGAGGTAAATGTTATTCTTGCTCATAATGTTAAAGTACTGTTTAGGTCGAGGTGTTATCATGCTAGTATGTGATTCATTACATACCAATTAGTAGGTGTAACGATTGTTTTACTGTTTTTATCGTCTACATATCTTGTATATAGCTTCGTCTAGACAGCTTGTATTTGCAGGTGCACTCTACGTACATACGTCTGGTTCATAGTCCCAAAAGGACGCTATTGTATACATTCTTTATGAATAGTTAAGAATTTATTATTTGTTTCTTTTATTTGTAACATCACGATAATAAATTTCAAATCAGTGCTTATAGTGTAGAAGATTAGTATATTTTTTTAATTATTCGTTGTGTACATTAAGTTCAAAAGAAATATATAAATCTATAAAGAGTTAGTGGAAACATTTTGCGAAAACAGCAAGTTTTCTTACAAAGAGAACATATGATGTTTGAGTCAGGTTGGGGGTGTTATAAGCGTGATTGCGCTTGCATATATGTATATATATAAAGAATTTGTGTTTCATACATAAACATAGTAACTTTTAAGTCGTTACCTAATATAACTAAAATAATTATAATTTTAAATTAACTAAGTAACAAACTGATAAATGATTATAAAATTCCTAAAAATATTTTAATTGTTTATTTTGTCGTGCGACTAGTTTTTTCCATGACTTCTTCCATTGCTTTCGATGTTGTGTTCAGAGAGAAATAAAGTAATGTTTCTACGATTGATTTTGCAACCAACTATGTAGTTTTGACATTTATTGTCTGTCACATGACCTGATACGACAAAGAGTTGTTGTGCCGTATTCTATACAAACTAGAAACGTATTAACTATGGCTCGTATGATTACATTATTCGGAAGAGTCATCAAAAATCGTTCAGTATATTTTAAATGCAACAAAAAGTCATATATTCTTACAGATTATTGCGATTACAATATTATTTGGATATAATAAAAAAAAATTCATAAGCATATTACAATTTAAAGTAGTACTCTGGAAATATATATTTCGTCTTAAATAATATTTATAAATTTTTAATATATTTAAACTTCTAGTAACTATACCATTATAAATGTACCCATAATTAACATATAAATGAAGCACTGGCATATTTTAATTAACATTTCGGTTTAATTTAATATCCGGGTCTCTTTTTAATGATGGAATGAAGAGTAAAATTTATTTTATCATTAACTATGGTGATCGGTTAATGTAATATTTTTGGACCTACAAAGGTTACTAATTATATTTTGTTTATAGAGATGACTATATTTTACTTGTTTAATTAATTAAATATAAGTGGGGGAGAGGGGGGATTTTATGACGTAATTTTTAAGTAATTTTCATACAGATAACTATTAAAGTGTATCATTAAATATATCGCAACAAGATTATTTATTGAAACTGCTTTAGTGGAAATTGGAAATGTTCCAAGAGATACAGAAATCATTTTCGACATTTAGATAAATCCAATGCGCCATCCGAACAGCATTTAGTTCATAGTCACATTTTTAGTGTGTAATAGAAATACATACAAAATTATTTTCTACCTGATATTTCAGCATATTCAAAAAGTTAAGATGTTTCAATTATTAATCAAATAATGTCATAACCCTAATAAAACTGAATGAGACATATCTGAAAGGAGTTTGGAAAGGAAAACATGGAATATTGAGTTATTTTTTTGTGTTAAAATGAGCGAAATAATTATCAATCTGTGTGTAATCTTAATTTTTTTTGCCTCTTTTTAACTTTGTTGATATAGTGTGTTCATGCAAATCTTATCATTTTATTTCATTTATTTGATTATAACCTGTGAAATCGTACTCTCATTTCCCAAATTGGCCTATGTATAATTCATTGCTCGTACATATGAATCAAACCATAAGGTACTTTTTGTTACTTTAATAAATAGATAAAGTTATGGCACGATAATTAAAAGTATAATATTGTACGTAACAATATATAACTTTATGTAAGTACATAAATAAAACACACGCTAAAAGAAGTAACCAGTTTCAAGTAATTATCATAATTTCTTCTTCTATTTATTTGGTAGTAATTTAAGATAATTTGGCAACAGAATGTAGGACGTGGCAGATAAAACAGTTTGTTCTTTCGGCGCCGACATGGCGTCAGAGTGTTTGGCTTCATGTTCCCAAGGGAGGCTGTAGTACCACCCCCCGTTGTGTATTGTCGGTAAAAAGATTCCCCTGTTATGTGAATTGTACAACATCATATGTTTTACATCATATAAAACTTTTGCCAGTATATTATTCTCAATTTATTTAAGTTAAGTAAAACATACCGATGCATAACTTGTTACAAAACAATGTTTATGAATTAAATTATAAATTTTGTCGAATGTGACTAACATATGTATACGAAAATCAAGTTCATGTATTAATGACTCCCATTCGTCTTATTATCATAACTTAAGTTAAATTATATGGTTTAAGTAAATTCTTATTTTTATTCCCTATTTCTTGCAAAGAGAGACATTGAAATATTGTAAATTGATCAAGCTGCTTTAGTTACTGCAAAAATAATAATAATAATTTTTTCCTTATGTTTTTTATTGTTATTCAAATTAATATGCTTTTGAACCTCCAAAGTACAATCAATTATTATCTATATATTTTAATGACGTGTGGAGTATTTTCACACATTTCATATTTGACTCAACAATAAAAGAGTACATTAAACAAAGAAGAAACTTATTCAAATATTGCTCATGAATAATTAATTTTTATAAATGACAATCCATTGTTCTACAAACCGCAATTACTTTTATAGTAAACAATGTAGATAACAATGTGTTAATAAATTATTTAGGTACTATATAAAGACTTACCTTGTGGTTAAAATATTATGCCGATTTTTATCTTATCAAAATAGCTATAAATACCTACAAAAAATAGATAATAACACACCTAAAACTTTATTTAACTTGAGAGGTCTAATATTTAAGCTAGTAGTAGGAAAATCGAAATTAAACTTCAGCTTCGTGCATTTTAACTTATTTATCTCTTAGTAACTAATGTAAAAAAATATAGTTGTATCTTGTTCATAAAATGATTATTACTAATTATTCTCACTTATGTAGGTTTGTATTCATTCAGTAATAAAGATATATATAGCATTACCGTAAATATGTTTTGACATCAGTGCAATAAACATGTTCTTGAATATTGTAAATGTTCCGAAGAAGTGAATTCTTGTTTAATTGGTGAACACGAACGTTCTGTACCGAGCATAGTCAGTGAAGTGTGTTGACTGAACAATAGCTAGCTGATAAGGTACTAACTGCTAACCTTATTGTGAGTTCTCCTCTTGTGAAGCTTTCCCGCAAATAAATCTTTTATTTTCCACTAACGATTTTTAAAAATATATGGCGCTGCTTCCTTAATAAAGCATGTTCGAGTGTATAATGTATATTCCACAGTTTAATTAACGGTAAAGACGAACGAATATAAATAAGTTTATGTATCCGCTAATTTAACATAAGTCGTACGTAGCTCGTACTTTGCAAATAGTTTAACATAATTGTATAAATAAAGTCTTCGGAAGCTAGAAACTTTATCGAAGTTTTAACATTTCGGAGTACACATGCGTACATACAACCTGACCTGACTACGATGTCTCTA